CGATATGGCCATAATTTCCCCACAGCCCACACCTGCTTCAGAGCCAGGCCTAGGGCTCGAGGGGGAGATCTGCCCAGCAGGGGCAGCAGCCTGTCCCCCTTAGCAACACACACACCACTGCCCTATCCCTTTCCCTAAGCCACCCAGCAAGGAAGCAGCAAGGGCCCCACAAGCAAAACTGGCCATGAGCTGTGCTTCTAGCAAGTGGATCACAGACGTAGTGACTCTAACAACATCGCTAGGAAACACAATGGGTTATTATTCTTCTTATTATTATTATTTACCTCTTCGTTAATTCATTTTTACTGATTTAAGAGAGGAAGAGAGAGGGAGAGAGAGAGAAATATCAATGATGAGAATCATTGATCAGCTGCCTCCTGCAGCCCCCTAAAGGGGATCGAGCCCGCAACCTGGGCATGCGCCCTTGATCTGAATCGAACATGAGACCCTTCAGTCCACAGGCCGATGCTCTATCCATGGAGCCAAACCAGGAGGGGCCGCAGTGGGTTATTTTGTGGGTGGTGTGGACGAAAAGGTGTGCTAACCTGACTAAGTGAGGGGAGGCTTGTGGCGGCCTTGTGAACTCAGAGACCTAATGTGACCACACAGGACGGTCTGAAAGTCAGACCTTTAATAAAAGCTTCTGCACAGCAAAGAAACCATCAGCAAAACATCAAGAGAGCCTAGTGCATGGGAGAGCATATTTGGCCAGTTATCACCAATAAGGGTTTAATCTCCAACATTTATAGGGAACTCATACAACTTAACAAAAGGAAGATAAACAACCCAATCAAAAAATGGGCAAAGGACCTAAATAGACACTTTTTGAAAGTGGGCAAACGGAAGGCCAAGAGACATAAGAAAACATGCTCCAAGTCACTAATCATCCAAGAGATGCAAATCAAACGACAATGCGGTGCCATCTCACACCTGTCAGAATGGCTATCATCAACAAATCAACAAGCGACAAGTGCTGGAGAGGACGCAGAGAAAAAGGAACCCTCTGCACTGCTGGTGGGAATGCAGACTGGTGCAGCCACTGTGGAGAACAGTATGGAGTTTCCTCACAAAACTGAAAATGGAACTGCCATCTGACCCAGTGATCCCACTTTTAGGAATATATCCCAAGAAACTAAAACCCCTAGGTTCATAACAACACAATTTAAAATAACTAAGATTTGGAAACAGCCTAAGTGCCCATCAGCAGATGAGTGGATTAGAAAGCAGTGGTCCATCTACACAATGCCAGTCTGAGAAAGATAAGTATCACATGATCTCACGCATTTGTGGGATAAATAAACTGATGAACAGAAATAGAGCCAGAGACATAAAAGCATTGAACAGACTGTTAAACTTTAGAGGGAAGGCAGGGGAAGGCATGTGTGGAGGGGGTAAGAGATCAACCAAAGGACTTGTGTGCATGCATTTGAGCATGACCAACGGACACAGACAGTAAAGGGCATGTGCTGGGGGTGGGAGCGGCTGGGGAGAGGTCAATGGGGGAAAAGGAGACATAGGTAAGACTTTAAACAATAAATAATTTAAATAAAAAAATGAAAGCAGTTCATGGTGGAAGTCATATCTTAGCCCAGCATCTGCCCAGACAGAGGTCAGCTCCCACCTTTATGGAGCTGTTGTCTTTCTGTGTCTGAGGGACCCCTGTGGGATGTGGGTCCCTGTATCTTCCCTTTTCCCAACTGCTCAGGGCACAACCCGTGTGCCTGGGTCAGACCACAGGTCCCCCCTTGTTGCTATTCTCCTGTTTAGTGCTGCCTGCTGCCTGTCCTGCACCGCATAGGGAAAGGAGCATGTGTCTGTCATCTCACTTTTATCCAATCCCAGAGGTTTCCCCCTTGCTTCCTCCCGCCTCCCCAGCCCATCACCAGTGAGTTCCTGTGACCCACCCAGGCCCCCTCCTTTGACTGTAACGTGTAAAACAAGGTGAAACCCGCCATTCTCCGTTCTCCGGAGCATCATCCCTTCTGTTGAGACTGCTTCCTGGCAGCTGTCCACAGTTTGACTCAAATAAACTCACAAAAAATGCTTTATAGGCTTGCATGATTGTTTTGTTTTGTTTTGTTTAGGTGAGCAGAGGTGCAGAGCCATAGGGCTGTGAGGGGAACCGCAGAAGAAGGACGGAATCCGCTAATCTCCCTCCAAAATTCCTGATGGGGCAGGACATAGAGGCTGGGACAGGAGACCTCGGGCCTGTGCAAAAGGCCCAGAGGACCAGGGCGGTGGGGAGACAGAGAGCAATGGCCAAGGAGTGTGACCGTCACTAAGCACAGCGGCTCCCGGAGGACACAGAGCCAGAGACCTGAGGTTAACGCTCCCTTTCAGCCTCAGCACGCAGGATGGAAGGGCAGGCCTCATAATGCCAAACGGGAGAATCTAGCCTGGTACCGAGGGCAGGTGGACAGTGTGGCCAGGGGGAGGACATGTCCTGTAGAATGGCAGAATGTAGAAGCTGGGCTGGCTGGTCACCCCACGCCACCCAGGCCACTCACACAGGACGCTGTTACGCCCGCTTCTCTGTGCTCAGTGCTTCAGACACGGCTTTGGGGTCTCATGCAGGGAGAGGAGCTGCGGAAGCTCTGAAATCGGCCCTTCAGAGCCATTCTGGCTGTCGCAGAGGGCGCTGTGCAGGCGGGGGCGATGGACCCCCTTGGAACAAAGGCCAATGTCAGGAGAGGCTCAGAGTCAAGAGCAGGCGCGTTCCAGGCCCATCGATTTCACGTTCCCTGTTATTTCTCCCCGAGGGCGTGAGAGCCATGCATCACCCGCTCCATGTTCCTGCAGTTTGTTACCGGGCTCCCCATTAAGCAATGTTCCGAGCCGCAGGCCCGTCCCGTCCGGGCACACACCGTTGTAGCAGCAAATGGCCAGGCCTCGGTGCAGCCATCTGTTCGCCCTGGTGAGTTACAGCTAATCGATGCTGTGTGTGTACAGCCATCCGTCTTCCCTCCGCGGCAAACAACTCTCGCTGAGGCACAGCAACCAGGGCTCTGCCCCCTCTTCCTCCCTCCATCCCCAGCCTGTGGGGCTGGGAGGGCTCTGAGGGGCCAGCCGGCCCAGGGACACAGGGACCCGGCTGCAGCACAACAACTGAAATGTCTTCGGAGAGCCACATTTCTAAAGCTTAAACTTTTTCTAAGGCCACTTCTTCCAAACAGACCCGCCCAGGCCGTGGTGTTCTGTGGAAGAGCCGCCCTCCAGGGGACAAAGAGCCGCCTGTGGCTCTCGCGCCGCGGTTTGCCGACCTCGGGGCTAGAGCAACTCCATACCCAGGGCCCCGCCCAGGAAACCCAGGCAGCCGCCCTCTCTCTGCTTTCCCGGGCCACCTCGTGTCCCCCAGGGTCCCGAGTGCCGGAGGGGGAATGGCCCTTGGCTTCGGAAGTCCATGCCTGCGTCCTGGCTTCACCCCAACATTGAACCCGTGTCCTCAGATCTGGCGAACCCAGTGCAGAGCCCTGACCTCCTCCTGCTCCCAGAGTGAGCCGCGCGCCCTCCGCGTTCTCCGCCGACCGGCCCGGCCCACGTCCGCTCGTCCCTTCGTCCCACGTCCCTCCGGACCGCCCCCGGGGCTGGCCCCGCGGAAAGCCCACGCAATGCCACGTCGGGAGCCGGAACGCACAACCTGCTCTGTTCAGCAGACAAACACCATCGCCATCTGGCTGCACTGTGACCGGTGACCGATGACCGGTGACGAGTGACCAGTAACCGGTGACCGGTGACTGAGGCCTGATGGATGCCGCAGGGGCGGGGAGGAGGCGAGTGGTGCCACGGCCCTCGCCTCCTCGTCTCTCCGGCGTAAAGCCCGTGCCCTTTTCTCCAGGAAGCGTTTAATTTGGTTCTGTCGCGCCTTCCGCGTAAATAACGCCACCGTTTACTTCACCGCCGATCCCGGAAGGCTCCTGCTTCTCACCCCCTCATCCTCTGTAAGGACGGAGTCTCATGTCAGAGTAAAGGGCGGCCTGGTGCTGTCGGGAGAGGGGCAGACACTGCCTGCGCCCGGCGAGGAGTCACGCAGCCGTCCGCTGTGTGCAGACGGAGCCGAAGCACCATCTCCTTCCCACACAGCGGTGCCTCTCGCTGGGCGGAGGGAAGACCTGCTGTCTGACTGACCTCCGGGTTCATAGGGCGGCGCTCACCACTGAGCCACACGGGCCGCCCGACCAAGAATATCCTCTATAATAAAAGGGTGACATGCCAATGGACCCCAACGGCAGGACGACCAGAAGGACCACTGGACCGGTCACTCCGAGGCGCACTGACCACCTCGCGATCCCTTTCCCCGGCTGTCAGGCACCGACCACCTGATGGTGGACAGGGAACTGGGGTGGGTGGCGGTGGGTGGCGATCAGCTGCGGGCCGCCGGGAAGATGGCCTGGTCACAGGCCGAGCCTCGGGACCGTGCCCACGCACAGATTTCATGCACCAGGCCTCTATTTTATTAGAAATTACAAAACCAGACGCCTACCCACGTGTCTCAGAGATCAATAGAGTGTGTGTTGGGATGGGGGGTAAGGAGGCTATAATGGAATGGAGAGGGGAACTGGGGTAAAACCTGAGACGGAGACATCTATTCGAGAGAGAAACCTCTGGCTGCAGTGTGACCGGTGACCGATGACCGGTGACAAGTGACCAGTAACGGTGACCGGTGACCAGTGACCGGTGACCAGTGACCGGCGACCAGTGACCGGTGACCAGTGACCGGCGACCAGTGACCAGTGACCAGTGACCGGCGACCAGTGACCGGCGACCAGTGACCAGTGAGGCAGAAGTGAGACGGCGGTGAGGCCCCTTAGGCAACAGGACCAATCGCCAGGACCTCCCCCGCCTCCTCAGTGTGAGGTCGGAAAAGGCTCCCGAGGCAGAGAGTGGACAGAGAGGAGGGGCAGGGCCACTGCAGACTGACTTCCCCAGAAGGCGCAGGGAGAAGGCCCGCCGCCCGCCGCCCGCCCGCCCGCGGAAGGACTGACAGCGCGGAGGGGACTTACGGACGGAGTTCTTGGGGCTGCTCTCCTTGCTGGGCAGCATCTTGACGCCTCTGGACTTGAGCTCGATGGCCTTTTTCACTGGAAGAGAGAGCAGAGCCTGAGTGGTCAGGGGAAGCCATGCCTGCCCTCAGCCCACCTGCCATACAGCTGTCCCACCGACTCGGGGCCGGGCTGCCAATGACTGAGAGCCGGGGCTCGGGGTGAGCCACACAGGCCGCCCGGCAGCCAGGCCGCGTCTCTCAGCCCTGGCTTCGGGAGCTGAAAACCAGCACACACTGTCCCTTCCTCCCCAGCCTGCTCCCACCAGCTGTGGCGGACCCCAGACCACGGTCACCCCGCCACGGTGTTCAGGCAGGTCCTGTCTCAGCAGAGGCCTCGCCCACGTGGCTCCCAGAGCCGCTCTCCCTGGAAGGACTGTGGGTGACTCTGACCGCCTGTGGGTGGCGGGGATGAGACTGGGTCGGCTGTACCACCACTGAGCTGCACACAGAGCTCTCAGCCCTGCAGGTGCTCCCCTCTCCTCCTCCCCCCAGGAGCTGAGACCACCCCTGGGGGAGGGGCCTTCCCTGGCATCCCCCCTGCCAGGAGGCACTGCCCTCCTTCCATCTCCAGACAGAGAAACTGCCCCCCCCCGGAGCACCCAGCCTATGCTGGGACGGTGCGTGCACAAACAATGCCGCTTGCATATGTGGACAGAAGGGCAGTGTGTGCAGGTGACAGAGGGCTTCCGGCAGGCTGAGGGGGGGGCTTACTGCTTCAGCCTCCTTGGCTGCAGGGGGCGCTGTTTTGTCTTTACTGCGTGAAACATTCCTTCAGACATAAAAATCACTCATGCGAGGGTCCTCATTTGCAATAATTACCAACTCGTAGTTATTCTATTTTATTTTATGTTATTATTTTATTTTATTTTATTATTTTATTTTATTTTTGGTGTATCTTATACAAATGTCCCCCCCAGCCCCGCTTGGGAAGCAAACATCAGAACATCAATCCGCACGCCCATAAGTGCGTCAGCTCGCATCTCGGAAAAACCACGCTTTTCAACATGGATGAGCCTAATACCGTTATCACATGTGAACAGGCTCCCGATAAACCCTCCACGTCACCCCTCAGGCTGGGACTCGGCGAGTCCTGATTGTCTCCCTGTGGCAGGACGCACATTGCCCCCGCCCCCTGCCCCCCCCAGCCATCTTCCTGCTCCATCCCGCCCAGTGCTCCCTGAGTGACATGAGCTGAGGCTTCCAGAGCCGCCCTGGCACCAGCGGATCGCATCCCGTGCGATGCCTGTGGGCTCTCTGTCCTCTGACCCTCCTCAGGCTGTCCGTGGGTAACGCCCGGGAGGCTCAGGTGTATTTCCTGGTGAGAAAATCACCCGGACATCCTTATGGGCACGTCCCTGCTTCTCCCAAGAGGCCCAGGGAGGAGGGCCCACCTCCTCCTGTGATTGGCGGAGCCACTGACCATTGTCCAGGCCCGTGACTTGCTTAGTAATTTTTTTTCCCTCCCAACCAGGCCAAACATTATCCCAACTAGATTCACTTATGAGAAGTGTCATATTGGTTAATAACTCGAGGCCCTTGGGCAGAACGCTTTGATTTCCTATTACTCTCAGAGTTCGGATCCCAAGTGGCAGAATATTCATAGTGACCTCCGAGGTGCCGGGCGTTCCCCTGGTAACCAGCTGCAGGAGAGAGCAGGGCGAGAGCAGGTTCTGAACTGTCTCTCCACAGGGACAAACACGTTCCAGTGGATCCGTCATTTCCCAGGACAACAAGTTCACCCAACAACAAGTTCAACAGAGACTGACGGAAACGCACCCAGGTGTCTGTCCAGCTTCTTGGCGTGTCGAACAGAGAATGAAGGACCTTGACCTTGTGCAGGGACAACCCACCACAAAGCTGCTCCAGACCCCACCCTTGCCCTCCAGAGGGCTGGGAAGGGTATTTCTGGGTGCATCTGTGAGGGGGCCCCTCGTCCCACAGCGCCCACACACCATGGCCTGCAGCTGGGAGCTCCCTCTAAGCCAGCCAGGGGCTGGGCTGGACCTGAACATGGAGCAGACATGCTGGGCGCATGTCTGTGCAGAGAGAGTATTTCTGAGGGGATTGTCTGAAGGGAGATGAGCAGAGAACAGGGCCCTGGGCCGCCCCGTGTCCGGGGCCCGGGAGGGCTCTGGTGGGGTGGTGCTGTCTCATTACACCCATCGCTCCCCATCTCCCGGAGCGCCTGTGCCCAGGGCTGTGGGCTGCACCAGGATGGGGCCGGCTGCTCCCTCCCCTCCCCATTCACCCTGTGCACTGAGCCCTGGACAGGGCCATGGCCTCGGCTCCTCACCTGCCAGCGGCTCTCCTGGGACCAGGCGTGTGGGGCTGTGAGCACCCGTGGCCACACTGAGGTGTGGACAGCAGAGCGGGGGCACCCGGAGTCCTCGGCGAGTCACCCCGGTGAGACACGTGTGCAGAGCCGTGTGAGGGGACCCCGGACGCGTTCTCCCCCAGTCACAGGGCCCCCCTCGGCTGCGGCGGGATGCAGGGGCGCTGGCCAAGTGCACTGAGTCCCAGGAAGTGCTCACGGACCCCCACGGGCACCCCCACCAGCTTGACCTTCAGCAGATGGAGCCGGGCGGATGGCCACTTTGCTGAAAATTGCATTTCCTTTGCCTCCTGTGAAGGAATTTGGGGACTTTATCCCAGACAGCCGCTCTCTAAAGGGATAATCATTGATCTCCCTCCCTCGGCGATAAGCCGATTAGCGGCGGTGACCTGTCCGTGCGAGCGGCCAGCGGAGACGGCTGCCTCTCCTCCGGGGAAAGGCCTGGCGCTCCCGGTCGGACCCGAATCCTTCCTCCTGGGGAACGCAGCCCCTCATCTCCAGAACGCTCACAACCGGCGCTGGGGCTGACTCAGGACTCCCTTACAGGGTACTGCCCACAGACGTTCTTCAGCACCGTCGTGGCTGCCTCCCGCATGCCTCCTGCCGGGGACCAAGCCCGTGACCCGTCTGGCTCTGCCTTTGGCTGGTTTCAACCCCCCCGAGTCCCTCATGGGGGCAGCACCTTTCCTCCACATCCACTCCAATCCCGCCCCCGGGGCACCTCCCGGTGACTGAGCATCTCCAGCCAGCTGGGCCGCCCGACACCCTCTGCCGGCCCAGGAAAATGGGTCGCAGCTGCCGAAACCGGTGTGCTCAGTGGATAGAGCTTCAGCCTGCAGACTGAAGGGTCCCAGGTTCGATTCTGGTCAGGGGCATGGACCTCGGTTGCGGGCACATCCCCAGTGGGGGGCGTGCAAGAGGCAGCTGATCGATGATTCTCTCTCATCGATGTTTCTAACTCTCTGTCCCTTTCTCTCCCTTCCTCTCTGTGAAAAAATCAATAAAATATATTTTTAAAAAATGTGCCACAGCTGCCAAGCCCAGCCTCTGCCTTCCAAGCTCAGGCCGTGCTGTGAGGCTCAGGGCTCTCCCCGCACCCCTGGGAGCTTCCAGGGTGGCAGGAGCCCCGGGAGTACAGGGAGAGAATAAAGCGGAGCTGGAGGGCCCTCTGACAGCTCCGGGAACGCCCCCTAGTGCCTGACGTGGGCAGTGAGGACGGCCTTCAGCTCTGGCAGCGTTCCAGTGCTCCAGGGAGGGCCTGTACTGGGAGATTCTCATCACAAACCACTGAACCTCTGCAGGAGGAAAAACGGGCTTTTTCTGGGGGAGGTAGCAGGGTAGGGAGGTGAGGGGGGGATCTGGGCGGGCAACTGGAGGGTGACTTTAAATCTGCAAGGAATAAACTTCCTGTTCATCGTTTTACAACATGACTTAATTTCCAGGGGAACAAAGGAGATGGCACTGAAGCAGGACTGTTAGGGGAACAGGGGCAGGTTCAGGGAATTTTTAGGCTTGGGGTCCATGGAGGAACACACGGGGCTAAGACGGGGAGAAGGGCCATTTTGTTCAGAAGAGGAAGTGGAAGTGGCCCAGACAGGTCTCTATTTACAGAACGAAGAAGGAAGAACGTCTAGAAGGAATGGAAGGACGATGAGGGAGGAGGGCCTCAGGAGTCACTATAGTAACCAATCGAAAGGAAATATTGACCAATCAGAGGGGATATCAGGACACAAGCTCTGCAGCCTTTAAAAACCATGGAAACAGGAAAACCATGGGGCCCTTTCCCCTCCTTACGTGGGAGTCTACTTGTTCTTTTTAAAAAATATATATTTTATTGATTCTTTACAGAGAGAAAGAGAGAGGGATAGAGAGTGAGAAACATCGACGAGAGAGAAACATCGACCAGCTGCCTCTTGCAAACCCCCCACTGGGGATGTGCCCACAACCAAGGTCCATGCCCTTGACCAGAATCGAACCTGGGATCTTTCAGTCCGCAGGCCGACGCTCTATCCGCTGAGCCAAACCAGTTTCGGCTGTGCTTGCTCTTTAATTAATCTCCACCTTTGCTATCCTGCCCTCTGTCCGTGGATTCATTCTTTGACTCTGGCGGACAAAGAATCCGGGTTCCAGTCCAAAAGTTCCGTTTCAGTATCGATCCTTCCTCTAGCCAACCTGCCGCTTTTCTGGATGGCCCCTGAGTCTCATTTCACGCGACTTCACTTGTGGGTTGCCACGCCTGCCTGCCCCACGGGCGGCACTCCGCACAGAGCACCTGACGGGCCTCCTGCCTGCCTGTGGCTGAGAAAACCTCACGCTTCCCCGCCCCCGGAGTCACCGGATCGAAACCCGCTAATGAAATGAGGCCTGAGAGGCATCCCCGGAGCGCAGGCTCCATTTCACAATGCCGGCCGGCCGTGGAAACAGCCGCCCGGGCAGAGAACATTGTGGGCACAGGAGATTCGGAAAAGGAATGTTAAAAGGATGCGGACGGTGCGGGATGTATTCGTGGGCATTACGCTAGGATCCACACGCACACATCACGGTAATGTCTGTGGGTTTTATAGCCAGTTCAGGTCAAGGGGTGGCATATTAAAATATTTCCATTTTTATAGCAGTAAAGAGGCAGGCGTATGACAGAGAGGCGGTCCCAGGGGGTAAAGAATGCTGCCTCTATTCGTGGGGTAACGATGGCATTTTCTCTAAAA